CAAACCTAGGCAAAAAAGAAAGAAGGAGATTGTATGATTTGGGGCTGTAATTGTTGCCCACCAAGAGGAAAAACTCTTCTGTCCTGCTCTTGTTCTGCTATGATCCCAAACAGGTGTGCACTTTGAAACAAATGCTTGGACTATCACAGTGGGATTCAAACACAGGAGACCACGTGTGTAAGTTCTGGTTCAGTCCTGGAACAGCCACCCTGGGAGCAGGCACTCCTGGCCATCAGGGCTACCTTTGAAGTATGAAAGCAATGTTTGGGGGGGGCCAGGCTCCTGTTTGAATGCAGCCTGATTGCTGTCATTTATTGCCACTGGGGTAAAACCAGAATAATAGTAATAGCCATTATTTATTAAACATTTACCGTATGTAAGCATTGCACTAAGCATGTCTCACACATTATCTCATCTAACCACAACTCTGTGAGGTAGGTTCTACTTTTATCCCTATTTATATTCAGGATTACTAGCATGTCCTAGGTTAAACAGCTAGTGAGAGAGAGAACCTGAACCAAATCTAGGATGTCTGACAACGGAGCCCAAGCTCCCAACTATAGTGCTATAATGCCTCTTTAAGCTCAGCAAAAGCTGGAAGTATAGTTGATGATCCCTCTTTCAAAGGATTGACTTCCACATTTTCTACTTAATGTTCAGCTCAACTACTGATCAAATGCACTGACACAAAAGCCAGAATTTTAGAGGACATTGAAACCCTCATAGTCCCAGTAGACCCTCTAACAAAGAACACTGTAGTGGCCAAGAGCAATGACCTACTGAGCCTTCCAGGTAGGAGATTCCAAACTGCAGAGCCCCAGCTCAACCCTTATACTACTGGTGAGCTAGGGTGACCCTTGAAATTCTAAAATGGGCCTTCAGAGCCTCTTTAGGGCACCTTTCTAGTGATTTTGAATCCAGCAACCTGCAATCCACTAGACCTTAAGCCATTTGCCTGCAAAATAAATACAAGTCTAGACTGATCAAAGGGTTATCACATCACTGTCAACCCCCACATGCCATTGTCATAGAATGTACCATAGACTTGTCCCATTCTCATGACCATGTAATTTTGGTCATGGTGGACTCCAACACCAAATTGGAACCTCTTATTCTCCTTTATCAGCTTACTGCCACTCTATTAATATTAAATTAAATACCAGAAAAAAAACATTCCCCACAACATATTGTAGTTTTGGATTTGTACTGTCTAGTTGTTGTTCACCCATCACTTCAAGATCAGCAATCAGCCGGGCGTGGTGGCTCACGCCTGTAATCCTAGCACTCTGGGAGGCTGAGGGGAGTGGATTGCTCGAGGTCAGGAGTTCGAAACCAGCCTGAGCAAGAGCGAGACCCCATCTCTACTATAAATAGAAAGAAATTAATTGGCCAACTAATATATAGAGAAAAAATTAGCTGGGCATGGTGGCGCATGCCTGTAGTCCCAGCTACTCGGGAGGCTGAGGCAGGAGGATTGCTTGAGCCCAGGAGTTTGAGGTTGCTGTGAGCTAGGCTGACGCCACAGCACTCACTCTAGCCTGGGCAATAAAGTGAGACTCTGTCTCAAAAAAAAAAAAAAAAAAATCAGCAATCGGTTGAAATGCAGCACCTGGGGTTCAAGAGAAGACTTCTGCTGCTGAGACCTTGCAAACAGCGCTATCAACTCACCTAGCTAGTCTCTGAAGAACTTGCCTTTGACTCTTCACTATACCTTTTCACCCAGAACAGTTTCATAGCAACTCATCCCTGTTATTTGTTATTTCTCTCCCATCAAGCCAACCCACCCCAACAACTGGTTAACTTGAGAAACACCACAGGCCACTCAAACAGACATGAAAGATGCCTTCTCACTGGCATGCCAGTGAGAAATTTAAATATTGACCAGTGCCAGACATCAGAGAAGACCAACCAGTGGGAGATGCCATAGGTGCTCCCAGGCATATTAGTGGAATCTGACTTTGTCAAAAAGAACTGTGCTCTAAGGAACTACGAAGACTCATAAAAGCCATTATTACCCTGGAATTCACTGCCAGCTATTCTATTTCTGGCTTTTGATATTCCTGACCCAACATGACTATCTCCTTCATTACTCATGCCAAAATTTGCTAACCTGAAATCAGGAACCATTATATATGGTATAAAAAGTGATCAGCAACACTCGATGCCAACTGAACTCCATTTACCAATAACGCTGGGATGAGTATGGACCAACACGGTGGTGATGAGAAATACTTCCAACTTTAGTAATGTTCTAATTTCCACTGGCACTTTAAATGGGCTGAGCCATCTGTGACCATGCCCTGGCTGGTCCATAAAAGTAAGCTGCAAATCCTAACAGAACAGTCTTTCTAGGAAATCACCTGTGAGTTCCCCAGCCCACATCCTATCTATTGCTGCTTCATTCGTGTTTCCTTTCCTCTTTCTGACACCTGCTCCTGGGTCTGGCAGCCTTTCAGAGTCCATGTTTTGTATTTTGGCACTTCTGCATGGTTTAAAGCTTTGGCTGCTCCTCTGGCTTCAGAATCTCCCATTGCCTCCAGCAGAGGCTGCTCAGTCTGTGGGTTTCAGCACTCTCACACTCTCATAACCAAGTATGGTCCTTAGTTTGGAAAGGGACTGGGAAGATTTTTCTTCTCAAAAGATACGGAAATATTTTTCAGAACTGGATGAAATAGCCTTTTGAAACAAAACTGAAAATTATCCCAATATATAGTAACCTTATAAGTAGATTGTTATATCAATAAATGAATTTGGCATGGTTATGTGAAAATGTAGATTTTAAAATTATCAGATAGTCCTGCATGAACTTGGGAAGATCCATTGCTTGGCTAAAGTCCCAGGATATAACAAGTTTGGGCTAAGAACAGCTTATAACCAGCCTACAGTGTGTGTGTCTGCCAGCTTAGACAGAGGTAAGGGGGCGGCCTAGAGACACACGACAGAGAGGACCCTGAGATTGGCATCATTTCACAAGATAATGGTAGTGATTTTTTTTTTTTGGAGGGAGAGGGAGATGGCAAAGAGAAGGAATGTTGAGGGGACTGAGAGAGAGAGGATAGGCAAAGCATGCATCTCTTGGGCCTTGTTACTTAACATAGTGGGAAACAATCTGTCTTCAACAGACAAAACGCTACAAAAGTTCCTAGGGTCGTTGCCAGGAGCTCAGTCGCATTTTCTCACTGAAATTGTGTTCAGCAGAGTTTTATGGGCTCTCATTCATAAATAAAAATCCTTTATGGGTGTTTTCATGGAAAGTGTTTTAAGTTCCCACTGTGGATAGCAGGAACACATCTCCAATATGAAATTATAATGTCAGATAGCATGAGCACAGAGGCAGTTTGGTGGGGAGAGAACCAAACAGTGAGGCACTTGGGTGAGTGACCGCTGCCTCTCTCTGTGCCAGCAACATGGAGATTCCATTCCAAGTAGCATTTCACTAAGATTATTTTAGTCATGTTTTAGTAATGTTAGTAATGTTTTATGATTTTTTTAGGTTTATAGAGAATTTGCTGTAAACTTAGATACGCTTTTTTATTTACTTGGCTTATTTTTTCTTTAGATATACATTTCTTTTCTTTCTTTTTTTTTTTTTTTTGAGACAGAGTCTCACTTTGTTGCCCAGGCTAGAGTGAGTGCCATGGCGTCAGCCTAGCTCACAGCAACCTCAGACTCCTGGGCTCAAGCGATCCTCCTGCTTCGGCCTCCTGATTAGCTGGGACTACAGGCATGCGCCACGATGCCTAGCTTATTTTTTTTTTCTATTTATATTAGTTGGCCAATTAATTTCTTTTTATTTATTTCTTTTTATTTTTATTTATTTATTTTTCTTTTGAGACAGAGTCTCGCTTTGTTGCCCAGGCTAGAGTGAGTGCCGTGGTGTCAGCCTAGCTCACAGCAACCTCAAACTCCTGGGCTCAAGCGAGCCTGCTGCCTCAGCCTCCTGAGTAGCTGGGACTACAGGCATGCACCACCACGCCCGCTCATTTTTTTCTATATATATTAGTTGGCCAATTAATTTCTTTCTATTTTTTATAGTAGAGATGGGGTCTCGCTCAGGCTGGTTTTGAACTACTGACCTTGAGCAATCTGCCCACCTCGGCCTCCCAGAGTGCTAGGATTACAAACGTGAGCCACCACGCCCGGCCTCTTTTTATTTATAGTAGAGACGGGGTCTCGCTCTTGCTCAGGCTGGTTTTGAACTCCTGACCTTGAGCAATCCGCCCGCCTCGGCCTCCCAGAGTGCTAGGATTACAGGCGTGAGCCACCGCGCCCAGTCTAGATATACATTTCTAATTGTATAAGGCAAATTAATGGCAATAAGTCTTGCAGGAATGCATTTATATCAATAAATGTACAAGAAAAAGAATACATTAAGGCATGTATAGATTACACAGTGTTGTTACTGTTTGAAGAAATAAGCAAGCTGGTAAATACTGAAAATACATTACTCTTAGCTCTCCTTTTATTGTAATTCTTGTTAGATTTTAAGCAACGTGTATCAGATAAATGTTTTGTCCTTTTATTTCTTTATTTTAAAAAAGTCTCCATAAAAGAATTCCTTTTAAATTCTTTAATTAGGTGTAAATTACCTGAGTACATCTCTTTTTCCTTCCATTCACTCAGGAACATTTAAGTGTCACTGTGGTGTGACTATCAGGGTCAGCAGGAAATACAGGTGGAACGAAAGGAGTGAGTGTGGTGGGGACACGTGACTAGGGCACACCTTTGAAGAATTGGTAGCACAGTGTAGTTGGAAAGAAGCCTGCTGCTTTTTTTTTTTGAGACAGACTCTCACTCTGTTGCCCAGGCTAGAGTGAGTGCCATGGCGTCAGCCTAGCTCACAGCAACCTCACGCTCCTGGGCTCAAGCAATCCTCCTGCCTCAGCCTCCCGAGTAGCTGGGACCACAGGCATGCGCCACCATGCCCGGCTAATTATATATATATATATATGTGTGTGTATTGTGTGTGTATATATATATTTAGTTGTTCAGCTAATTTCTTTCTATTTTTAGTAGAGACGAGGTCTCACTGTTGCTCAGGCTGGTCTCAAACTCCTGAGCTCAAGCGACCCACCTACCTAGGCCTCTGCTAAGATCAGAGGCGCGAGCCTCGCCTGGCCAGAAGCCTGCTTCTGAAGCACAGAGTTACAGTAGAGTGTGACAAGCCAAGGAAAGGAGCTCGTAGAAAGGGCTGTGGGAGCTGCAATGACCTTGCCTAAGGGGCTGCGGCCATGCAGTAAAAGGCCATCTGAACTAAATTCTTGAGAAGTCAAAATTTAACCACATCTAGACTGAAAATCCTTTCCAAAGTAAAATGTTGACTAAAGCTCTCTCTCATAATTGTTCTGATTAGATGGTCCATCTAAAGTCGTTGCATGGCTTCTCTGTCATTACGTCATCTGACTGTCCTGTCACGTATGTTGCTGGGTTGTGGCTTCATGCCTTCCAGGGCACTCCCTGTGGCTGGCAGCCACAGGAAGGACAGGAAGTGAGGACAGAGGACTTCACTAAGGAATGTGGCAGGCCCCTTTACACTCACATTACCCTTTGCCCCATCCCCCCTATAACATGGGAGAGTCCTTCTTTTTAGGGTTTAGTGGCGCAGCAGGTTGGGAAGTATTTGGGAAGGGGAGGCTTCCCTGAGCTCTATTGCTGGGAGAAGACAGGAGACTCAGCAGGTCAAACGGCAGGGGCAAAACCACAGTGGGGGGCTTCTCTGCGGACAGAGACTGAAGGGCGTGGAGACACCAAAGCTGGGCGGCAGCTGGGGCGCCCGACAGAGCCTCCGCTGCCATCCTCAGGGACTCTGAGGCTGCCCGTTCCCCTTCTGCAGCGATCACCTAGGAAACAGATGTGGAGAGAAGCAAAGTCATCGTCTTTCATTCCATGAAGGTCTTAATCACTGTTCAGTGTGACCCAGCGAACAAGCACCGAGCATCCACTGTGTGGCAGGCATTGTTGGGCACAGAACAGGTGCGGCCTTTTTTCTGAAGGACTTGAGCTAGGGAGATAGATTAAACTATTAATTGTAATTTAAGGTAGAAGTTGTTAAGGGCCATAAATGAAGGGGACTTATTAATGCCTGGTGGGCCTTGGAGGATCAGTAATATTTTGTCAATATAGAGGAAAAGTTGGCCAGCATCCCAGGCAAAGGCATGGAATTAAGAAAGGCGACTCCCAACCTGGGCAAAATGAATGGACAAACTCTTCAGGAGAGAATGTGCCAGGATCATCAACGAAATGCTGCCTGAAAGTAGGCAAGTCCTCGAGGGCTAGGCTCCAAGATCTAAAAGTAACTCTGCCTTGGGGACCACTTTCTCTCTTTCCTCTTCCCAGTCTCCTCATTGCCCCAAAGTTATTGGTCCTCTTAAATGATTAGGATTTTTTCCTTACCTACTTCTGTTCTTTGAGAGAAATCTGCCTCCCCTGATTCCTCATTTTCCTCTTCCCAGCACCCACCCAGCCATACTTCAATTATGAGAAGCTGTTGGCAGCCAGATCTTTGTTTCTCACTGGCATGCCTGAGTAGGGGCTATGCGTAGCACAGCCTTCTCTTGGCCCTGGCGTTGAGGGCATTGGGCCTTGATCATGGTTGTCGCTCTAAAACTCGCACCAAGCTAGCGTATAGTTCTGGGCTAACCTAGAAGTCATGAACCTAGACATGATAAGTGACTGAGATTATTATTCAGGGAAAGATGCCAGCACTAGAGAAGAGGGATGGGATGATGTTTGCGGAAGAGATGCCTTTAAGGAGAGGGAGTGAAGGCAAGGGTCAAGGAGGAGGTGGTCACTGTTATCAGAGAGAAGGAGAGAGGTTGCATTAGTCGGTTAGGAAGCTATTAACACACTTTAAGAGAGTAATTTAGTAGAGCGGTAAGGAAATGCACCAGATCCTGCCCTGTGCCCGGCTGAATACAAGGTAAAGAAGCAAAGGGGAAATGTTCTCCATGAGCAGGCCTTCTTTTGGATTCTCGGGTGCTCTTTGAAGGGCAGTTTCGGTGGGAAGGTAAGAGTGCTCAGCACTGGCTCACCCGCACTTTGGCCTGTCTTTGAGCCTCGGCTTCCACAGCCAGCGAGTGCTGAAGCGCAGCCGGCAGCCTCACATCCTTACTGAAAAAGAAAGAACATAGGCGTGTAGGTGTGCAGCAGTGGAGCAGGAGCCAGGGCTTTGCACAGACTTGCAACTCTCTCTGCTGTTTTCTCACGCCGAGGAGCAAACTCGAGTTAACAGACTTTGCAGTGCCTAGACCTGCGAGGCAGAACGTACACAGAGAAGAGCATCTCAGATGCTGGTGGCTCAGCTGTAGGTTCATGTTATTGCTGATGCTGCAGCAGAGCTATCATTTTCTCTTTAGAAGCACAGCAAAGTTTGTGTTGATAAGTTGTGCTCATTTTTCCCGCTTAGGATTTAATCTAAACTACAACTGTTAAATTTGAACAATGAAAAACAATCTTGAAGAGCTATACTATTAAATAACAAAGATAAGAGGAATTCATCTAAGTTTATAAAAGAGAAGGATTGATTTTGAAAAGGGCAGAACTGACCAAATAAAAATACTTAAATGCATTGTCTAAAAGATATAAACTTGTCTTTTTTCCCTGATTATAACTATGAAAATGTATATATGAAAAACCATTTAGCAGTTCTTCAAAAAGTTAAATATAGTTACCATATGACTCAGTAATTCCACTCCTAGGTATGAACTCAAGAGAACTGAAAACACATTCACGCACAAAAATTGCAAATCAATGTTCATTGTAGCATTATTCATAATAGCCAAAAAGTGGAAACAACCCAAATGTCCACCAGCTGATGAACAGATAAACAAATTGTGGTATAGCCATACAACAGAATACTATTTGGCCATCAGAAATAATGAAGTGCTGATTCATGCTACACTATGTCTGAACTTTGAAAACATCATGCTCAGTGAAAAGAAGCCAGACACAAAAGGCCATATGTTATATGATTCTGTTTATGTGAAATGTCCAGGATAGGGAAATCCATTGAGACAGAAACTGAAGTAATGGCTGCAAAGGGCCTGAGCACTGAGGGGTGAAGGGGGGTTTCCCACTTAGTGAGTATAGGCTTTCTTTGGGGAGTAATGAAAATGTTCTGAAATTAGATAGTAGTGATGGTTGTACTGCTTTGTAAATATACTAAAACCACACTTTTAAATGGTTAAAGTGGTAAATTTTATGTGAATCTTATCTAAAAAAATTTTTAGATACATAGAGAAAAAAACATGAGAATAATTTGCTCAGATGTTACAGGGGAGGCCAGGCACGGTGGCCCACGCCTGTAATCCTAGCACTCTGGGAGGCCAAGGTGGGAAGATGGCTCAAGGTCAGGAGTTCAAAACCAGCCTGAGCAAGAGCGAGACCCTGTCTCTACTAAAAATAAAAAGAAATTAATTGGCCAACTAAAAATATATAGAAAAAATTAGCCAGGCATGGTGGCGCATGCCTGTAGTCCCAGCTACTCGGGAGGCTGAGGTGGAAGGATTGCTTGAGCCCAGGAGTTTGAGGTTGCTGTGAGCTAGGCTGACGCCACGGCATTCCAGCCTGGGCAACAGAGTGAGATTCTGTCTGAAAAAAAGAAAAAAAATGTTACAGGGTTTGTGTTAGGGCTATGAGATATTAGGTCATTTTTTTCTCTTTTTCCAAATTTATGCTAATATGGCCATAATTAATGCTCAATAAAAATAACTTTTCAAATGAAAAATTTAACATTAAACCAAATATTTTCCTTTATCATACTGTTCTTCCCAGTTAATTTCCTACCCACATTTCTGTTCTCTCCACTTTGATTCCCCAAATACAGGTCACTGAATCCAAGGCAACCTGTGGAGGGAAGAGTTCAGATGTCAGTGAGAGCCTCCAGGTGTGAGCAGAGCAGGTCTAACTAAGCACTGTTGGCCACTGTTCTGTACTAAGAACATTTCCTTTCAAAGAACATTATTTGCCTGCTTTGTTTTGTTTAACTTCATTGTGAAGTCCCTTGTGAAGAGCTGTTTAACTTGCATAATGCCACTCAGTAAATTTATGTGGAATTAAAGATGGTGTGGTAATGAGCAAATTGGTATTAACTGATCAATACCCAAGTGGACATATAGGAAAAACATTTATCGGGTGTCGGGCAGGGGGGAGGGGGGAGGAGGGATGGGTATATACAAACACAATGTGTGAGATGTGCAGCGTTTGGGGGATGGTCACGTTTGAAGCTCTGACTTGTGGGGGGTGGGGTGGCAAGGGCAATATATATAACCTTAACATTTGTACCCCCATAATATGCTGAAATAAAAAAAAGATGGTGTGGTAAATTGAATAATAGCCCCCAAAGATGCCCATGTCCCAATCCCAGGAACCTGTGACTGCTACCCCAAGAAGGACTTTGCTGATGTGATTAAGTTAAAGGATCTAGAAATGGGAGATTATCCTGGATTATCCAGGTGGGCCCTAAATGTAGTCACAAGTGTCCTTATGAGAGGGAGGCAGGGGAGATTGGACTACAGAGGAGAAGGTGATGTGACACGGAAACAGAGACGGCAGTGATGCAGTGTGAAGATGGAGGAAGGGGCCACAAACTGAGAAATGCAGGCAGCCACTAGATGCTGAAAAAGACAAAGAAACAGATTCTTCTCGCAGAACCTCCAGAAGGAAACAGTCCTGCTGACACCCTGACTTTAGCCCAGTGAAAATGATTTTGGATTCTGGTCTTCAAAGCTGTAAGAAAATAACTTTTTTTGTTTTTGTCTTAAGCCACCAAGTTTGTGGTAATTTGTTACAGAAGCAACAGGAATTAATACAGATGGCATATTTGTTTAATCTGTTTTAAAATGCATTTATTAGATAGCCAGCGTTTCTTGCCTCTCTTCCAAATGGCTTTCATTCATAGGGTGTTTTAATAAATCCTGAGATTAGTGCAGTGAGGACCTTTAGAAGAGTGACTAATTTGGGGGATTAGTGAGAGTAGGAAAGTTGACAGAAACATCACAGAGGAGTTAGTATCTTAAAGGGCAAATAAGATTTTGCCAGTGGAGACAGGGAAGTAGTCAATGCAGAGGAAATAGCCCCAGAAGAGGCATGGAAGTGTATGTATAAGTGCTGAATGCTGGAAAAACATGAAGTAGAGTTCTAGATTCAGTGGAGGAAGGATGGCAAAAGGTGAGGCTACTACAGTTGGGTCATTTCTTCATTCATCCAAAAAACATTATCTGTCTGCTGTCTGACAAGCCCATGCTGAGGACAAAGAGATGGATAAAATAGGGCCTCTGCCATTATGGAGTTTATAATCTGGGAAGACTAACGTGTAAATATAGACCATCCCCAGCTTATGATGGTTCAAATTATGTTTTTTTTTTTTTTACTTTATGATGGGTTTATTAAATGCATTTTCAACTTATGATATTTTTAATTTACAATGGCCTTTTTGTAACACAGCCTTATTGTAAGTTGAGGGATATCTATCTATCATCTATCTATCTATCATCTATCTATCCATCTATCTATATTATTAATATAATTCAATGTAACAAGGGCAAGCCTGAATGCCAAGCATCTGGACTTTATTCTTTAGAGGAGAGGGATAAATAAGGAAGAGAGGGTGAAGGGGGGTGTCCTTCATGGGACAGAATCATTATCAATGCTTATAATTCTTAGGGTCCCTCCAGTTGAGGTCCTCCTTCCCGCTAGACGTGATTCACAATCTCCTAGTCCAGTTCTGCGCCTGACTTCCTCCATGGCTTCAATGACAGGCTGCAGAGCTGCTGGTCATTGTCACTTGACTGGCCTGCTGCCTGGAATCCTGCTTTCTTCTCACTTCCTTCTTAATATTAATACTTTTCCCAACTTGTCTTGGTAAGAATCAAAGAAGCCTACCCTGGCCATGGAGAGATTGCTGGGCTTACTGCCTGTGGGCCACATGCCGCACCTTGCTCTTCTTCCCTAATTCCAGATCAATTAAATCTAGACAATTGATTGGATAGTTAATCATGCAAGAGTCTAGGACATCTTACCTCTTTTTATCTGAAAGTCTTATTTGAACTCGTTATTTAACTTAGCACACACTATGCTTGTGTCCCCAGCTAGAATGTAAGTTCCCAGGGACCATGCCTTCTCAGCTTTGTGTGCCATCAACCCTTCCTCCCCACCAGCGCCCACCACTCCTGTCAACAACCATTCCCAACACTGTGCTATGTGACTACTTCACAACGAATTTAAAGTCACTTGGGGAGAGTTGAGAGCAAAAATTGTGACAATGATTGACTCGCCAATGCTGTACTAGTGACTGTAATTGACTGAGGGTCAATTTGGCAACCGCTGAACTAGCTATAAGCTCCCTAAGGAATGGTATCTTGAACAGTGAATGCCTGGCACATGGAAGATTTAACAAATGGCCAATAAACAAATGAATAAAATATATTTCAACATATTTAATATTACATTTATGTATGTACCTTTACATCTTGGGCAATGCTTTTCCTCTCTAGAAGAATTTCAGTGAGGGATCGATGTGCTAGGAGACGCTTCATGGTGGTTTGCACAAGAAATTGGACAGCTTTGGACACGTGAGCAAGACTGCTTAGGAGAAGAGAGGCATTTTCCATTCGGTAATAGCAAACAGCATCTATCTCCATTATAAACATGTCTTTGGTCACAACCTAGGCAGAAAAATGTTCGGATGACAGGCTTAATTCTTGGGCTCCATTCCCATGAGAGGACAAAGGAACTAAATGTATTCAAAGATAATTTTCTCAGTGTAAGATTATAGCAAAGAAAAAAAAAGAATAGTTGACCTGCACTTCATTCAAAATAGACATGTTTTTGAAAATTATGGAATTTTTTGTTTTTTGAGATAGGGTCTCTCTTTGTTGCCTGGGCTGGCTGGAGTGCAGTGGCGTCACCATAGCTCACCACAGCCTTAACTCCTGGACTCAAGTGACCCTCCTGCCTGAGTCTCCCAAGTAGCTGGGATTACAGGCATGCGCCACCAGGTCCAGCTAATTTTTCTGTTTTTAGTAGAGACAGTATCTTGCTATTGTCCAGGCTGGTCCTGAACTCCTGGGCTCAAACGAGCCCCCCACCTCTGCCTTCCAAAGTGCTAGGATTACAGGTGTGAGCCACTGTGCCTTACCTGAAAATTATGGAATTTTTATTAAATACACTAGTGAATTCACAATTTAAAGGAATCCTGTTATAATCCTTTTGTTAGAAAATTCAGGAATAATTTTCTTCTCTGAGAACATTCATTTGATTCTGTATCAGGTCTTTGTAAACTGATGCCAAAAAAAAATATCTGCTAAAAGAGAAACATGTTCTAGGAAACAAGCAATCTAATGCATTGCTTGCCAGACTGTGCACTAGGGGGCAATTTGGTGACACTTATCAAAAGCTCTAAAAGATGCATATTCTTAACATTTCCATTTGCAGATATTTATCAAAAAGGTCATATTTTAGGGATTTAGCTAGAATGATATTATTCACATATTCCTTATTGGAATTAAAAAATGGGAAGAATTTAACATCAACAATAGGGAATTGGTTGAATAAATTGTAATACAGCCACAGAATAAAATGCTATGTGTCTCTTTAAAGGAGTAGAAATATAGCTAATATAGGAAAAGATAATCACAATATATTGTATAAAAAGGCATGTTACAAAATAGTATATATTTCAAAGTACTTTCAGCATAAAAAAAAAAAAACAAAAAAAAACAAAATAGTATATATGGTATGATACAATACATATATATGTGTATATATTATACACATACGTAAATATATATCAATATTTTTATTTGTAAAATATTACATTAAATATTTATTTAATATAAATATTAATATAACCACATACATAGAAAAGTCTGAAAGTATACACTCCAAATATCAAGTTATCTGTGGGTAGTAGGATTAGGGGTAAGATTTTTTTGCATTTTCTAAATTGTGTTAAAATACACAAAACTTACTATCTTACCCATTTTAAGTGTAGAGTTCGGTGATATTAAATGCATTCATAATATTGTGACTGCTGTCCCCACCATCCAGCTCCATAACTCTCTTTATCTTGTAAAGCAGAAACTCTGCACCCATTAAATAATAACTCTCCATTTTCTCCTCCTCCAGCCACCAACCATTCTACTGTCCCTGTGATTTTGATTACTCACAGTGCCTCACATATGTGGAATCATGTGGGATTTATCTTTTTGTGACTGCTTATTTCACTTAGCATAACGTATTCAAGGTTCATCCATGTTGTAGTGTATGTCAGAATTTCCTTTTAAGGGCTGAATAATGTTCCATTGTATGTATGTATGACCTTTTGCTTATCCATTTATCTGGTGATGATCACTTGGATTGCTTCCACATTGTAGCTGTTGTGACTGATGCTGCCATGAACATCTGTGTAGTTTTATTTATTTCTTTTGTTTTATTATCTAAATTAAGCTTTTTTTTAAAAAAAACATAGTTTCTTTTTACCCAAAGAAAGAATGAGAAAGAACCTCAGCGGGAAACAATTTAGGAAAGACTTATAAATCTGAATCACTGTTAGAAAAATCTGTATATTATCTCTATTTTTCTTTTTTAAAAATTTTAATTTGGTAAAATATAGATAACATAAAATTTACCATCTTAAGTGTACACTTTGTAGTGTTAAATACATTCACATTGTCGTGCAACCAACCTCCAGAATTCATTTCATCTTGCAAAACTGAATCGCATTAAACAATTCACCAATCCCTCCTCCCCCTGTCTCTTGTCAACCAGCATTCTAATTTCTGTCCCTGTGACTTTGACTGCTCTAGGTACCTCATATAAGTAGGATTATAAACTATTTGTTCTTTTGTATACAGTGTGAAACTGAATTATTTCATTTAACATAATATCATCAAGATTCGTCCATGGGGTAGAATATGTCAGAATTCTCAAGGCTGAATAATATTTCATCATAGGTTATATATCACATTTTGTTTATCTATTCAGCCATCAGTGGACACTTGGGTTGCTTCTACCTTTTGGCTATTGTGAATAATGCTGCTATGAGCATAAGTTTACAAATATTTCTTCAAGACCTTGCTTTCAATTCTTTTAAATATATATACAGAAGTAGAATTGGTGGGTCATATAGTAATGCTATTTTTAACGTTTTGAGGAGCTGCCATACTGTTTTCTATAATGGCTGCACAATTTTACATTCCTACTAACAGTGTACAAGGATTCCAATTTTTCTACATCCTCTTTAATACTTGTTATTTTCTGTTTTTTTTTAAAGCTAGTAGCCATCTTAATGGGTATGAAATGGTATCTTGTTGTGGTTTTGATTTGCATTTCCCTAGTGACTAGTGATGTTGAACATCTTTTATCTGTTTGTTGCCCATTTGTATATCTTTTTTTTTTTTTTTTTGAGACAGAGTCTGGCTTTGTTGCCCAGGCTACAGTGAGTGCCATGGCGTCAGCCTAGCTCACAGCAACCTCACACTCCTGGGCTCAAGCAATCCTCCTGCCTCAGCCTCCCGAGTAGCTGGGACTACATGCATGCACCACCATGCCCAGCTAAGTTTTTCTATATATATTCAGTTGGCAATTAATTTCTTTCTATTTATAGTGACAGGGTCTCGCTCTTGCTCAGGCTGGTTTCGAACTCCTGACCTCGAGCAATCCGCCCGCCTCAACCTCCCAGAGTGCTAGGATTACAGGTGTGAGCCACCGCGCCCGGCCCCATTTGTATATCTTCACCTTCTTTGTATGTCATCTTTGGAGAAATGTCTGTTGAAGTCAATATGAGTCAGTGTTCTCCAGAGAAACACACACACACACACATATGTAGAGGAGAGAGAAAGAGAGAGAGAGAGAGATTGATCTTAAGGAATTGGCTCATGTTATTGTGGGGGCTGGCAAGTCCCAAATCTTCAGGCTGGAGCCAGGGAAGAGTTGATGCTGTCTACTGGCAGAATTCCCTCTTCCTCAAGAGGAAGTCAGTTTTTTCTTCAGGCTTTCGACTGATTGGATAAGGCCCACTCACATTATGGAGGATAATCTGATTTACTCAAAGTCTACTGATTTAAATGTTAATCTCATCTTAACAAATACCTTTACAATAACATCCAGATGTGTTTGGCCAAATATAGGTCAAATGATCATGGCATAGCCAAGCTGACACGTAGGATTAACCATCACAAAGTCCTTTGCCCATTTTTAAATCAGGTTGTTTGCTTTTTTTGTCATTGAGATGTATGAGTTCTTTGTACATCCTGGATATTAACCCATTATGAGATATATCATTTGCAAGTATTTTCTCCCATTCTGTAGGTTGCCTTTTCACTCTGTTGATTGTTACCTTTGATGCAAAAAGTTTTTAATTCTGATGTAGTCCATATCCCCACTTTTCTTTCCTACTTTTAAACATAATTAGTCATTTTTCCCTGGGCCAGTGTTGGTCAGTAGGCAATGGAAAATGTAGAGAAAAAGCAAAATCCACCCTTTGGCTTACCTCATGAAAGGGTATCTCCAAAGTTTGGAGACGAAGATCAACCTTGTGGTAGGTATCCAGGCAGGGCAAAAAAAAGAAAAGACCTAGAAGAAGGGGAGGGGGAAATGACAGGTGAATAGCTAGGATGAGATGTTTGGGGTTCACTTTTTCAGGGTCAAGTTGTATGCTGCATTGCTGTTTTTGGCTTCCAACTACACACAAACCATTGGGCAGTCCCACCTCCACCCCTACACTATCTTTGTTGTATCTGAGGTTACCATATAATTTGTTGCTCAATCTGAGACACTTTTGAGGGTAAAAGAAGAACACTATTACAACTTGCTCCAGGACAAGTGTAAAAGTGGATTATCCCCAGCAGATTGGGCTGTGTGATCACTTTAGTCACCATGTACAGCCCTCCAGATCTCAGTTACATGTCTGTCCCTTCACTAGGAGCTGTCTAAGTAGAATGTCCTATGCATTATTGTTAGTCTTAGTATCTGACTTAGGGCCTATTAGGTGCTCTTTAAAATTTTTTTTGAATCCACGAGTGTACCCAGGTGTCAAATTTTAGAGCCAGCAACATCTTTATGATATTTCTTAAAATGTGAACTCCTGTTTGTGACTAGCTTGGGCAACATAGGAGACTCCGTCTCTACAAAAAATAAGAAAAAAATTAGCCGGGCATGGTAGTGTGCGCCTGTAGTGCCAGCTACTCAGGAGGCTGAGGCAGGAGGATCACTGGAGCCCAGGAGTTTGAGGCTGCAGTGAACTATGACCAGACCAATGCACTCCAACCTGGGTGACAGAGTGAAATCTCATCTCTTAAAAAAAAAATAGTGAATTCCAAAATTAATTAGAATAGCAATATCATGATACCAGCCTTCTCATTGGCTAGTCCTCACCCAGGCAATATAATATACATGGTCAATGTGTAATACACATCCGTATATTAATTTATGGAGGTTTTCTGAGAGCCCATTGGTTGCTGTGGGCTCCCACAAGAGCCAAAGCTTTGTTGGGAGAAACAGAACCTCACAGAGCACAGGATCCATCTGGGGAGCAGCCCAGCTACTAGCCTTTCTCAGCCCCAGTCAAGAAGGTTCCCAAAACCAGGGACGGAAGAAGACATCCAAGTTCCAAGACATCCAAGAAGTAGACCCTTGGAACTACAGGATCTGGTTCCACTTTTGTATGGACGCATCTATTGGTTCTAAATATTCTAACTTTGATTTATTTTTTTTATTTTATTTTTCTTTTTGAGACAGAGTCTCGCTTTGTTGCCCAGGCTAGAGTGAGTGCTGTGGCGTCAGCCTAGCTCACAGCAACCTCAAACTCCTGGGCTCAAGCGATCCTGCTGCCTCAGCCTCCTGAGTAGCTGGGACTACAGGCATGCGCCACCATGCCCGGCTAATTTTTTCTACATATAATAGTTGGCCAATTGATTTCTTTTTTAATTTATAGTAGAGACGGGGTCTCACTCTTGCTCAGGCTGGTTTCTAACTCCTGACCTCGAGCAATCAGCCCGCCTCGGCCTCCCAGAGTGCTATGATTACAGGCGTGAGCCACCTCGCGCGGCCTCAAACTCTGATTTATGTTTCTTAGTCTGGTCTCTATTTTCTACTTGGTTTTGTAGGCCTGGTTTGGAACTTAGACCCTATCCAATACATGCACAATGGGACTTTGTTTCTTCTCATACCTTTCTGGCTGGCTTCGAACTTCAAACTGCAACTACTAGACTTTTTAGACTAACTGTGCTACTGTGCTTCAGACTAACTACACTACTATCTGTGCCCCATTAACAGCTTGGACTTCGGGATAGCACCTCCACTAGGTTTTAAGGTCCTGGAGATCAAGAGACCATGTCTCATTAATCCATATTCGTATCCCTGATAGTACAGTCTCTGAAACACAAGAAGTGCTCAATCTATGTTTCTTAAACCACACCAACTAAAGACCAATTTGTTACTTAGATGCTGAACTTTTCCTATCTCCCATGATTTGATCTGACCCCCAGGTTTCTGCAGTAGCTAAGCTTTTGTTTGAGAATTCATAGGAGTCTGATCATACGCACATTGTATTCAAACCAGTCCCAGCCATGGGTCCTAAACTGACTTGCTATTTCAGCCAGTCTGGTCCTAGCATGTGACTCTCTTTCTTTCTCTTGGCCATCTGTGACCTGGTAGTTATGCTCCCTGAATAATTTCTTAATAACCTGTATTATAGGTAACAGATTGGAAGATGCAGATATCGTGAATCAAGTCACTTCATGTAACCTGAAGTCCATATCACAAATACGCATGAATCAAAGAAATTGGCAAGTCAGGAGGTGGGGTGTTAAAAAAAAGAAAGGGTGTTTCTTACCAGGGCCTTTGGCTCTTCCAGGAAGCATATGTCCCAATCGGAATATAATTACTCTTTCATACTCCTGTACAACCTAAAGAGAAATTTAATACTTTCAAATTACTCCAAGAAAGAAAAACAAAGTCTTCAAAAGGCCTTGGCATAAGAGTAATCCTAGGTATCAGAAATCTTTTGTTTTGATAACCAAGAAAAAGTTTCTATTAATAAAGTTCTAAAATCTATATTTAGTAAGAGTACAATTTCAGAAACCAATGAAAAAGTACCACGTTAATTTTTGAGTGCAAGGATGGAATTTTGATTAAAGACTCATGATTATCTAAAAACTAATGTTTCTACTATGTCCAACTTTCCATAAATCAAAGAAATCTTATCAGGGCGTGTTTGATCTTGTATTTTACAATAAATTCTGCATTATTAGCTTGTATATATCAATTATATCACTCATTAGCTATTTAACAGAAAGAGGGAATATATTTTAATATCACTTGTGATATTTTATTTCAAACTGCAATTTTTTTCTCAGAGTGCTTCAAAATTATTCTATTGGATTTTATTTATTTATTTATTTATGTTTTGAGACAGAGCCTCGCTTTGTTGCCCAGGCTAGAGTGAGTGCCGTGGCGTCAGCCTAGCTCACAGCAACCTCAAACTCCTGGGTTCAAGCGATCCTGCTGCCTCAGCCTCCTAAGTAGCTGGGACTACAGGCATACGCCACCATACCCGGCTAATTTTTTCTATATATATTAGTTGGCAAATTAATTTCTTTCTATTTATAGTAGAGATGGGTCTTGCTCTTGCTCAGGCTAGTTTCAAACTCCTGACCTCGAGCAATCCGCCCACCTCGGCCTCCCACGCCTATATTAGGATTACAGGCGTGAGCCACCGCGCCCGGCTTCTATTGGATTTTCATTTGTCAATTCTCATTGGTGATAGATTTAGAAAAATTGGGTGTGTCCTGAAAGTGTGTAGAAGGTATTTTTAAGTGACAAAAAGAGATCTCTGTGTAGAAATGTTTGTCTGTGTAGAAATAAGAAAGTTTCTGCATACTACTTTGAAAATAAACTCCACTTTCTGGCCCAGTGTCAAAATCTGAGTTCTATTGCTTGTTTATCATTAACTTGTTGGTCTGTTTATTTTTATATATATTCTATCAGAGTATGAACTCCTTGATAATATGAAATAAATCATTTCTTCTCAATGCCTAAAAAAATGCCTGATACATAGTAAGTGTTCAATAAATAATGAAGAAAGGCTTAATTTGTGACTGTAGACAGTCATGTTCCTTCTTCATTCTCCCTATACTTTAAAAAGCTCCATTGAATAACTAAGCCAAATATAAAAACATAATAGAGACCAAAATAAACACACTTTGTAGTTTGTTTCTTAAGGTAACAGGTTCGACTACCTGTAAGTCCGCTGAAGTTAGGAACCATGTCTTGCTTGTCTTTGAGGCTTACAACTCCTGCGCCAGAACACTGCCTTGCTTGTTGGAACAGTAAGAACAAATGATAGAGTTTGGTTTCCAGAGTATACCCCAGCAATTCCCAGTTGCTTGGTTTCCTAGCAGTACTTATTTCTTTTCTGCTTGTATTGGAAGAAACAAATTCTTCCCAGAGATAAAGTCGGGAGTTTTACTCCTTCAAGACCTTGGTCAAATGTAACTGCCTGGTTCTACTACTGTCTTTTACTCAGTTGGCTTCTTAGGCTTTACCATCTTAAGTGACCATATCTGAGAGCCTTTTCCACCAATCAGTGTTGGATCTTGTGGCAGTCAAACAGGTACTCAGATAACCCTTCAAGAAGAGCCTGCTGCCAACTATACACTGTCTGTAGGAGAGACATATTTTATATTCAAAGATATGAGTAGACTGAAAGTAAAAGAAAAAGCTATATCACACAAACAGAAACTAAAGGAGAGTAGAAGTGGATATACTAATATCAGGCATAATAGACTTTAAAACAAAGAAGCAAACATGTTACTGGCAATAAAGAGGGACATTGCCCCATTCAGTATGATGTTGGCTGTGGGTCTGTCCTATATGGCTTGTATCATTTTTAGGTAAGCCCCTTCTATGCCTATTTTATTAAGTGTTCTTATCATAAAAGGGTGTTGAATTTTGTCAAATGCTTTTTCTGCATCTATTGAAAGGATCATATAGTCTTTGTTTTAGTTTCTGTTTATGTTGTGAATTATATTTATAGATTTGGGTGTGTTGAACCATCCCTGCATCCCTGGGATGATTTTCGCATTCTACACATCTGATAAGGGACTGATAACTAGAATCTACTTAGAACTCATGAAAATCAGCAAGAAAAAATCAAACGACCCTATCAACAAGTGGGCAAAGGACATGAACAGAAACTTTTCAAAAGAAGACAGAATAATGGCCAACAAACATATGAAAAAATGCTCAACATCTCTAATCATCAGGGAAATGCAAATCAAAACTGCAGTGAGATATCACTTATCTCCAGTAAGAATGGCCTTTATCAAAAAGTCCAAAACAATAAATGGATGCAGAAAGATAGGAACACTCCTACACTGCTGGTGGAACTGCAAACTACTGCAACCTCTGTGGAAAGCAATATGGAGATACTGTAAAGTGATACAAGTAGATCTACCATTTGATCCAGCAATTCCACTACTGGGCATCTACCCAAAAGAACAAAGGACATTCTACAATAAAGACACCTGCACTTGAATGTTTATAGCAGCACAATTCACAATTGCAAAACTGTGGAAGCAACCCAAGTGCCCATCAATTCAAGAATGGATTAATAAAATGTGGTATATGTATTCCATGGAGTACTATTCAGCTCTAAGAAACAATGGTGATATAGCACCTCTTGTATTTTCCTGGATAGAGCTGGAGCCCATACTACTAAGTGAGGTATCCCAAGAATGGAAAAACAAGCACCACATATACTCACCAGAAATTGCTATTAACTGATCAGCACCTAAGTAGACACATAGGAATTACATTTATCAGGTGTTGGGCAGGTGGGGGAGGGAGGGAGGGGACGAGTATATACATCCATAATGAGTGAGATGTGCACCATCTGGGGGATGATCACACTTGAAGCTCTGACTTGAGGGGAGAGGGCATAACCTTAAAATTTGTACCCCCATAATATGCTGAAATAAAAAATAACTAAATAAAATTGGATACATAAATGTAAAAAAAAAAGAAAAGACAGACACTGTATGATAAAAAGGCCAATGCATTAGGAAAGTATAATAATGATGAGCACTTATGTACCTAAAAACAGAGCTCCAAAATACAAGAAGCAAAAACCAAAAGAACTGAAGGTAGAAATAAGAGTTGAAGACTTCAGTACTCCACTTTTAACAGTGGAAGGAACAACTGGACAGATGAAAAAGAAACAGAAGACTTGAACAACACTATCAATAAATAAAACTAACAGACATCGATACATAATCCCACCACCAACAGCAGAATACACATTCTTCTCAAGCATACATGAATGATCTCTAGGACAGATCATATATTAGGTGATAGAACAAACTTAAACAGATTGAAAAGGACTGAAATCATATAAAGGATATTCCTTGATTACAATGAAATTAAACTAGAAATAAATAACAGAAGAAAATTTGGGAAATTTACCAATATATGAAAAGTAAACAACACACTCTAACCAATGGGTTAAAGAAGAAATTACAAGGGAAATGAGAAAATATTTTGAGATGAATGAAAACAAAAATACAAGATACCAAAATGTATGGGATGTAACTAAAGCAGTACATAGAGGAAAATTTATAGCTGTAAATGTCTATAATAAAATAGAGGAAATATCTCAAAATAATACCCTAATCTACCTTAAAACACTAAAAATAAAAAAGCAAACAAAATATAAAGCAAATAGAAAGAAGAAAATAATATAAATTACAGTGGAAATAAATGCAGTGGAGAATAGAAAAATAATAGAGAAAATCAATGGAACTGAAGTAGATAGACCAAAGATGGCTCCTATAAATCTAAAAATGGAGTCAGTCTTGCTCTATTAGTAAAAGGTCCCGACCATGTAAAAAGTTCCCAGAGGAAGTTCCCAGAAGAGGGAGTCAAGGAGACCTGTTCCCAAAAAGAATAGAGAGGTCCTGTTCCAAGAAAAGTCCCTTGTCCCTCAATGTACCTTTCCATTGTTCACTTGATTAACGACTAACTGCAAAGTTCTGCTTCTGTGATTGCTCGCTTGCCTAGCTGCCAGCCCCTGAGGTATAAGAAAATCGCAAAGGCTTTGTTCGCTGCTGCTTCTCCCTCCTTGCATGGAGTGGTGACAGCCCCTGCGCAGGTATCAATAAACTAATTTGGCTGATTGTATGCTGGTGGTCCCCTTGATCCGCTGGTTTACAACAGAACCAAAAGTTGATTTTTTGAAAAGATCAACAAAATTAACAAATATTTAGCTAGTCTGATGAAGTAAAAAGAGAGAAAACTCAGATTATCAAAATCAGGAATGAAACAAGGGATCGTTACTACTGTCATCTCTTACAGAGATAAGAAAAGACTATAAGGGAAAAAGACTAGGAAAAACTGTATGCCAACACATTAGATATCTTAGATGAAATGGATAAATTCCTACAGAAACATAAACTAGCAAAACTAATTCAGGAAGAAAAAGAAAAACTGAAAAGTCCTATAAGTAAAAGACTGAATTAGTACTTTTAAAACTGACCACACTGTGGGGAAAGGGAACCCTTGTCCACTGTTGGTGGGAATATAAATTGACACAGCCATTATGGAAGACAATATGGAGGTTCCTCAGAAAATTAAAAATATAACTACCACATGATCCAGCAATCCTACTTCTGAATATATATACAAAGGAAATGAAATCAGTATCTTAGATATACAGCCCCATATTCACTGCAGCATTATTCACAATAGCCAAGATATGGAAACAACCTAAGTGTCCATTAATAACAGACAAATGAATAAAGAAAATGTGATGTATGCACATATACATATATGTACAGGGGTGTGTGTATATATATGTATGTTCATATACATGAACATTAATATTATTAAGTCTTTAAAAAGAAGGAAATCC